TAGTGGAAATTTTGAGTAGTTCGGAGAACCAGTAGTGGAAATTTTGAGTAATTCTGAGAACCGGCAGTGCCACCTCTGGCTGACCCCAGTGTGGTGTGGGAATGGAGATTTTGCAGTATCCTTCCCCTGTCATGCCCACCAAGCTACACCATGCCCACCAAGCCACGCCCACATAACCGGTAGTAAAATTGAATTTCGCCACGACATGACACCCACCCATTGGAATATTATCCATCCCAGAGATTAGATTGGACCCAACCCTGCTGGCTTTTTGTTACACACAAGGTTGCATCATTGAGTTTGGAGAGTTGGGTGTGTGGCAGAGACTGTGCAATGGTTATATTGATTGTGTTGGTTGTTTTTTTTTAAAAAAAATATTCTTTTTGCTGCTGATTATGCATGCATTTTAAATGTTATATATTTCATGCTTTCATAATTGTTATTAGTTGCCCAGAGGCAAGATTTTGAGGGGTGCTGCTATATAAATTGAGACAGATAGAGCAGATAGACACAAGTGAATTCTACCACTAGGCTGTATGATTGAAGATGAACGATTACAGACCAACATCTCTAAAAGATCCAGAACATTGACTTACAAAATTAATCCTATCACTTAATATGATCACAGTCACAATGACAAGCCAAATTATTATTCCATCTGTTTTAAACGTGGGCTGAGCGATGTTCTGCTTCATACTAAAAACAATAGGAATGCCTGTTTTATAGATTTTTTTCAAGCCTTCTCAAAAATGATAAAATAACAAGTTTCCATGAGGTTTTTTTTTTTAAATAACTGAACAGATCTCTATCTCAAAAACCATGATGGGCGGGAGGAGGAAAAGGAGAATGTCTGCCTAGATTTATTCTTATCCTTTGAGAAGTAGATTATAGGGAAAGGGACAGGGCCACCTGGTGACCCAGAAAACTTCAGTGTACCTGAAAGAACATCCCTAAGGAAACCTACAGCTTGCCAATAACAATAGTAATACAAAAATCCTGTAATACACAGGAACAGTTTTTCATTGATTCCAACACTAACAACACAAGGGCAACAAGCGTTTGTGTTTATAAGGTAGTAGCAAGGTGGAATTAGCTCCCTTTTTTGTCTCTAGATCCCATCCGGAAAAACCTTAGAAAAATCCAACTCTATTTGCAGTTTTAAACATCTCTTATATCCTGAACTGGATTTGGATAAATACTGAAGTGGTGAGTAAATAGCGATATAACAAAAGCAGTTACTTAAACACTCTTTTTTATGCACAATATAGTTTTGTGCTATTGGGTGACTGACCTGACAAAAGTATGAACAAAAGGCATTTTTAAAATAACTAATCTTATTCTGTACAAGGAGCTCTTGGGAAGCTAGCTGAACAGAGGTGGTATTCAGCCGTTTTGGACCGGTTCACCCAAACCGGTAGCGCTGAATTGTGGGTGGGCCTGCATCATTTTTGACGCGTGCAAATGCATGCATTCCACGCGCATGAGCATAGTGCATTTGCGGAAGGGCACACGCATGGGCAGAAGGTGCATATGCTCACAGTTACGAACCGGTGGTAAACCTAAGTGAAACCCACCACTGTAGCTTTAGATGTATTTGCTAAGATCCCAGGAAATGTGATCAGATCATTCTGCTGAGGACAGAATAACGATTACAGAAATCATTACTTTGAATGAGCAAAACTATATGTTACTTGGAGGAAGTAGAATCCCTTTGCTTGTAAAAGAAACTAAATATTTCTTGTTCTGTGAGGTATGCCAAATCCCATCAAACTCTTTGACTGCATTAAGTTATTATATCCTAATTAAACTACTACATCCCATTTACAGTCGTTTATGGTTTAGTTTGATGAGTGAACCCAAACAACTATGATTTATTCAACAAGTTCTAATTAAGCAAACCATGAGTTACTATAATGTATGAAAAAGGTTTTCATCTAGGCCAGTACACAAGCTACAAGAATGATCAGTAACCAGATTGTTCACAGGATAAACTTTTTCTAAGTTTATTTTCTGAAGTTATCACAACTCCTGAAATGTTGTCCTAGGGGAACCCTTCAAATTATGCATAATATGACAAAGAGGTTTTGCAATCACTTCCATTTTCTATAAATTGAGGAACAATATATGATCCAAGCCAAAGGTCTAATATGATGTACAAACCAACCCTTTATTGCAAGCCAATCACTATAATTTATTCAACAAATCATTCAGCCCAACAAACTGAATCTGATTTCCCTCCTGAAATATTATTGTATTGTATAATGGGCCAAAGTATGTCTCCAATTTTACTTTACTTTTCATAAATGGAAAAATACTTTATCTAAAGGAAATGTTTTCTTTACCCTAACAGAAATTGTAATAGTTTATCAATGTTTAAAAAATGAATGAATAAAGAGCAAATAGACATATATTACCAAAGAAATCCCACTAGTCTAAGGAAGAAATATGTAGACTGGATTAACATATTGCCTTAAACCATGATTTATTCAAGTTAAGTGATTAGGCCATAATGTCAGGTACCAAAAAAAACCTCACAATGTGGTTTAGTGCAGTGATGGCGAACCTTTGTTGGCTCCCATGCCAAAAACGGGGGGAGCACAGGGGGGTCGTGTGCCAGCGTGTCACACCCATAATGCTATGCGCGCAGCCACCCTGCCGTGCTTTTGCCACAGTTTTTCTGCCCTCCCCAGGCTCCAGAGGCTTTCTAGGAGCCTGGGGAGGGCAAAAAAAGCTTCCCCACCCCTGAAGGCCCCTGAAGCTCCAGAGGGTGAAAAACAGACCTATGGGGAACCCGGAACCCATTTCCAAATGGTGACTTCCGGTTTGTCTGTAGGGCCAATTTTCGACCTCAGGGGTCTTCAGGAGACTTCCATGAAGGCTCCAGAGGGTGAAAAACGGTCCTACGAGCAAACCAGAAGTCTGATCCTGAACCTCTGGTTTGCCCATAGGGCTGGTTTTTCCCGCTCTGGAGGCAAAGTCTCTGGAGGGCGAAAAACGGCCTCAAAAGGAGGCCAAAGTCAGCTGGCCAGCTGACAGGGCAATACCTCGCGTGCCCTGACAAATGGCTCCGCGTGCCACCTGTGGCACACGTGCCATAGGTTCACCATCACAGGTTTAGTGTATTGTGTGAATCAACATTGGTATAATTACCAAATGAGTGATCGTTTTGTGATAAGAGTTTTGAGTTAGTTCAATTGTTAAGCAATGAACCGTACCTCATTCCAGTGAAAATATATGTTTTATAGACTATTTAACTTCACTGGCATCTGCTGAAATGTCTATTATTTTCTAATCTATGCTGCATATTTTAAATTTTTTAAAAAATCCATCTAAACTGCCTGAAGCAATGTAGTCCTCTTAATTGAATTTTAACATTCACTTTTATTGGAGTGGAATGGTCCCAGATGGAAAGTTTCCTATCACTACCAGTTAAAAGATGTAATGCAGCTCTGATGCCTTCCGATCCTTAGAACACCAACTGTGACAGAACAAAGCAAAAGGAATGGGGAAAAAATGTTGGTAAAATACGGGATTGCTATAAATGGAGCATCATCCTTAAGGAATAAATACTCTTGAACTAGTTCTTTGGAATAACAGTAACAAGCACTTCTCTGATAATCTGAAACTGGTGACAGTGCTTTTTGTGCATAAATCACTTCTGCATCCTTTTGATGGCTTTTTTCATTTTAAGCCTATTCTTTTGACCATTGCAAGGCATATCTTAAGTCACT